TAAAAATCTAGCTGTAAGTGCCTCATTGAAAACTATAACATCTGCCCAAAATGGTACAAACTAACCATCAGAATGACTCATCCTGATTTTGACCACTTACATTTGCAACCCAATATAATTTAGTTACTTTACCAACAAAGTGAGAAGCTCCGAGAGTGCCATTACAGAACTGTGCTGGTCCCAGGCAGCCACCAGCACATCAGAACCACAACATGCCTCTGTAACCCCAGTCATTGAAGAAGCTGGTAATGACAGGCAAGCCAATGAAGTAGCCAGAAGAGGCAACAGACTGCCAAGGACAGCAACATATGTGACCCAACTGCTGCTTTATTCATGGTATGTCCTTGAAAAAAAGCTGGGCATGCTGCTGTGGACAAGGGATCCTTTTCACTCCCCGTCCCCGTTTCTCTTGAAGCTGCTCTTACTGTTAAAGTCCTATCCCTGTTCCCACTATTGTCCCTTCTCTGTGTTTAAACAGTTTTTGATAAACTTGCAGCAGAAGTGCTGAAATCACAGGCAAGGCACCTTCTTTCAGCTTTGATACAAAAAGGATCTTTGAAGAATAATTCTGTCAGGCTCTCAGAAGCAAGTGCAAATTTAATTCTTCAGAGGTGTATTATTCAACCATATGCCTGTATGTGTTCACAGGAAGAGCAGAAAGTACCTCCTTGACATCACGGCAACATCTCTTCAAATTGAAATTTCTTAGTTCAAAGCCTAGGAACGCGAGAGCATCTCAGTGAAATGAAGGTAAACATATTTACAACACGTTTTTCCCTTCTTCTACATTAGAACAAAGGCATTCCTCCCTCACTGAAGAAATGAAAGGGCAAATCCAAAATCCCAGGGCCTGAAAACCTGTGGCCAACATGCCAGTGTGACAAGCTACCAAAGAGGAAAAGTTAAGCAAGTCCACTGCTACAAGCTCCACCTTCAGCCCCACATATCCAACTTCGAAGACAGACAATGGCTCCAGAAAACAGATGATTTGCCCCCTCCCCAAGCTGAAAGTTCATTTTGGCTCTAGGATTGCTCACTAGTTCTGTCAAATATAACAGGATCGCAAATCACCATCTTCTGCAAACCCCTGACACAACAATACCCAACATACAGAGCCATTGTGTCTTGACACCCCTCTCAAAAAGCATCAAAATCAGACTTGCCCAGAGACGGGAGATCCCAGATTAGAGCTGTAACTTAAACCCACATTAAGGCCAGTAACTACTGGATACATTTATGGTCCTGAATCCATCCATCAGACTGCCATTTAGACGCTCTTCCTAAATGGTTATTGCTTTTCATTTTCAACACTGTAACTTAACATATCTACAGCTCCTATCCTACGGTTTCCCATCACTAAAACATTTAGATTGGTGCCCATGTTGTCTCCCATTATTTCTTCTAATTAAGGAACAACTGTAGTTTACTTGGAAAGAAAGTACGTGGGCCAGAAGACATACAAGAATTAGAGAGAACCACAAACATCAGGGCTGCAAAGGACATCAAGAACTCAGCTATCATCTCAATGGTTTAAAGTTATATTAGTTAAGCAGGCCAGCCCCAGCATATGTCCATAGCACCATCATACCATCTTCCAAGTTGCACCACATTTTTGATTAATGTATCTCTTGTACTTTCCCAGTACAAGACAGCTACTGCAAAGAGTCCAGCCAAGGGCCATGAAAATGTTTAAGGGACTGGGTCACCTCTCATAGGAGAAAAAGCTGAGAGAGCTGGGACTGTTTGGCCTGGAGATGAGAAGGCTCAGGGGAAGGGGGATCTTATTAATGTATATAAATGCCTGAAGGGAGGTTTGCAAAGATGACAGAGCCAGGATCTTCTCAGTGATGCCCAGCAACAGGGCAGTGAGCACAAAGTAAATCAGGAGGCTCGCTTTGAACATCAGGAACATTTTCTCACAATGAGGATGACCAAGTACTGGTAAATGTTGCCCTGAGTGTTGAGTCTCCCATGTGGAGATATTCAAAAGCTCTCTGGACACAGTCCTGGGCAACAAACCACCTCTAGGTGGCCCTGCTTGAGAAGGTGTGTTGGACCAGATGTCCTCCAGCAGTCTCTTCCAACGTCAATAATCCTTTGAGTCTGTGAGCTATCTGTAAGGGACATCCTCTGTTATCCACAGTGACCTTAAAGTTCAGAAATCATAACCTCTGAAGAAGTCTTTACAACATATTTACAGTAAGATAAGACCTCATCTCTCTCCTCTTCTCAAAGAAGCTGAAAACCATTAATGTTTTGTACTCACTGAGCCCAGTGTCCATAAAAAATAAAACAAAAGGAAATATTCATTGATTTGCTTCCAACAAAGCAATTAGATGAAAGAAATAGATTGAATAAAGTATTTTACTGGCAGGATGACTAACAGATCAAGAACACTTATTGATCTTCAGTCTTATACCCAAACAGCTCAAATTGTACCAACTACCTAAGCTTTAAAATTAACTCTATCCTCTGCCCTCACCTTAGGACCACTCAGCCTCTTTCACAGAGCTTTCATGGAATCTTACTAAGCATGAATTAATTAGTTAACAAAAGACTTTGGAGTTTCAGGTAAATGTGCCAGTTTATGCAAGAGTTGCTTCTACGGGCTGGTGATCAAAAGAGAGGACACTCATGGGAAGACATATCCTGGAACTTTACGGCCCAGCTGAAAAAACTTCAAGCCCAAAAAGCTGAGCTACTGTCAGAAAATCCTCTCACTTCAGTGAAACGTTTCCATTGGAGCTTATAGCATCATGCCTGTAACACTACAGGCAGAAACCCATTGCTTCACAAAGCGCTACTGGACTTTTGTTAGGGCTTCTTTTTCTGACCATATTCTGAACTTCATCAAAGCTGTCATGCATGGACAAGTACCTTACTTCTCACCAAGCTTTTCAGGATTACAATGATCATGTAAGTATTGGATTTACTGTTCTGTATTATCTTTGTGCTCTCTGTTCTACAGAAATTAAATGAAGCCAGAATAGATAAGTTCTCATAGGGTAAATTGCAACAGATTCCATACATCAGCAGTTATTCCCTAGGTATACACCATGCTATAAATTCAAGGTAACCTGAGCTAGTTTATCTTTAAATGAAAGAGGAACAGTCTGACTGGCTTTCCTGAGGAGTACAAACATGGAACAGGAACAGTTATCTTGGAAAAAGTGCCACACTAAGTTCACATCCTTATTTACTCACTCACCAGGCATCACTTTTGGGTTTTCATATCCTAAAGCAGAATTTAGGATGCACACACTAGAGCAGGCATTTGGTTGTGTACTCACTTTCAGCCAGTAATCAGTCTTTAGATAAAACAGATTAGACCTCAAGTTAAAAGGCAAAATACAGCAACTAGGCATGACAGTGAGGAAAAATAAATCAGAAAATGAGAAGTACCAGTAACAAAGACTCCAAAGCTTCTCCTGAGTAGGGTAGGAAACTTTATATCACATTTTCTAAACATTTAAGTTCTTCAGCACATAATTATTCCAAGACAGCTTCTCTGTCATGGGTGCCCTCTCTCCACCATCCCAGAGTTCTTCCAAGCACCATTCTGAGTCACATGCATACACCAAAAAAAGGAACTCAGACTGTCTATTTAACTGAAATGTTAGAGAATTATTAAAAGGCTGAGTTAGATAACTTCATTTCCAGACAAGACCACTTGCCATAAACCCAACCAGGGTAAGAGGCAATAGCTGTAGGGAAAGGGAATGAGCAAGTATGGCTGAGTTAGCTCAAAGAGGGGATGCTCCTGGGAAGGGAGGAAACCAAGCATGCCCCTGCAGACCTGCCCAGTGGTTAGGACACTTCTTTCCCCCCCGGTCATTTGTGTTGCCCTTCTCAAGCTTTTGGACAGATGAGGACAGCCCTATACTAGAGGACACGAGGCAACAAAAGAAAACCTGCAATAATACAGCATTCAAAGGCCTTTGATTGCCCACTGTACACATGAAATAGGCTCTTTGCCTCCCTAGGCAAAAACAACTGACTGCTAGGACTGTTACTAGGCAATAATACAATAGCATAGAAGACATTATCACGTTAGACACTGAAGAGGTTTAGAAATGCTTGCCATTTGTTTCAATCTCAGTGTAAATGGTGAGTGTTGGGGGGTGGTTGAAGCTTCATTTTCTACGGAAGCCAAGACACACACCCAGACTCTTGCCTTTTCCTTCACCTCAGACCCACAGGAGGCTCAACAGAGACTAGCTGCATCTTGCCAGTAAAATTCAGCATTTTAAAACTGAGCACCATTTAACAGAGAGACAGTAATCTCAAAAAGCTTTTAGATTTCTTACTGCAGGATTAAAAGTAAGATGAAGCTCACACAAGGGAGGGCTACTCTGCTTGCAAACTTTTACATATCTACAGAACCCCAACCCTATACAAGACAGACTTTATGAATGCCCAAATACTGGACAGACTTCACTTGGAGCATCCCTTCCCTCAGGCTACTAAGTCATCAGCCATAAAACACAAATTCACAGGCTTCCTCACAGTGTTTGGGGAAACAAAATGTTAAAATTCAACTCAAAGATACACTATTGGGCTGAAAGAGCCCGCTTTGATGCTTTTATTTGTAGCATTTTCAAATTGTGACATAGCCTCTTACCCAGACTTTATCTTCCTATTGCAGAGAGGTCAGATTCTTTATTACTTATTTTTAATTATGTTTAATACACTTCTAGTAGTGAGCCAGATCCTCCTTTCTAATTAGGTCTAGCAATTAATAACTGAAATTGAACTGATGATGATACAGTTCTGCTAAACAAATAACTGAAGCTGGAATAAGAGTTAAGTGTTTCCATAAATTAGTGCTGACATCAACAGCAGCTTATTCTGAACTATACGTATAAAGTAATTATATGAGTTAAAAACAATTAAAAGTATTTCTCATTTATTTGGCTGCTCCTCATACTCAAGAAACTGGTCCCTCAAACTGTTGACCCTGCTCGTCACCAAAGCTGGGACTTATTAAGCAACCGACTAACCTTAGAGGATTTTCTTCGGCTTCTTCTTGTCCAAACCACCACTAGTTTATCTGGCTGCCTGTTGAAGATAAGGAAGAAACAGCTTAATTTACAATATGATCCATATGTAAACAGTTTATATTAAAACTCTTGCAACACATAATGACATCCTTAGCGGATCATTATCTCTTAGAAATAGCTCATCTAAAAACCACTCTCTGCATCAGTCATTTAACAGGAAAAATAACATGTATTTATAGAAAAAGGCTGTCCTCCAGTCTGGACACTAATGTCATCATTCTCTTCCTGCTCTCCTTGCCTGTGGACATCTCCCCAGAGCCAGCAGCACACCCAAGCAGAAACTCATTCATGGGGCAGAGAACAGGATCCAGCCTCTTTAAAGATATGTTGGAAGCAAGCCGGTACCCAAAATAAACATCAGTGCAAATGAGAGCTTGAATTTCTATGCAGACACATTGAAAAGGTACTGCTAATTAGCAAAGAAAACAGGCAATTTCATTTCTTCATCCCCAAAGGATTATTTTTTTTTACTTGAATACTTCAAGGATCAAGTCTTACATTATGCCTCAAAATCTCCTTGGATGACTATAGATGGATAAATCAGCACTTCCTCTAACAACTCATAAGGACAAACCTGCAGAAACTCAGTGGCTCTCCAAGCAATTATTTATTTAGTAATTGTAACGAAGGTAGATAGAAACCCCAATAAAGGGCACTTCCAGCACAAATTATTTTCCCTTTAACTGTCTGAGGATTTATTTCTTGGTTAATAGTTAAAGCCCTGTTACTTCTACCTTACTAGTTTTACAACTGTCTCTGATTTTTGATATTGATCTAACTTCCAGGCGGGTTTTTTTTCTTTTTTTGACCATGATACACTTCCCATCTTATGACTACACTTCTGGTCTCACTTCAGACCCATGAACCCTCTCTTCCGGAGACTCCTGACCCTCCATTTCGGATTCATTTTCTGGCTGATGACCCAAATTCCATCAAGAAGCCTGACTGCAAATCCAGTCAGGCTTCTTGATAGAATCTCCACTTAGAAGTACTAAACCTGCAACTCTGCCTGGGGAAAAAAAATGCTGATAAGATTTTCGTGTTAAATATATACATATATTTATAAATGGGGGAGGGGATATGGATGGTACTGAGAAAAAGTCAAGATACAATGTGCTCAAACCATATTAACAAATGCATCCAAAATAAAATCCACACAAGTATTCTAAATAAAAAAAGCAGTGTTCACAGTGCTATCCTCATATTTCATCACAGGGAGACTATTTGCTTCATAACTAACTTTTCAAATGAAAACCCAACTGGTTTAACAGTCATTTTAAGCACTGAAGTGCTGGCCACCTTCCCATGCATCACCCATGACTTAAACACCAACAGAACTAAAGTTCTTCTGAACCACAGAGTTAAAGGTCGGTCCTGTGAAGAAAATGAAAACAGAAGCTTTTATTTGCTATTCTGTAGTGCTCCTTTCTCCTTTAATATATCCCTTCATTTCCATGTTGGAAAAATAATAATAAATTGAAAGTGAGATCATCTACTGCATTTTAAGCTGTGTAAATTCACTCTTACAGCTTGTGTAGGTGACCTAAACCATAGACTGGCTCTACTTGTGGTTCCTCCTGCAAAACCTTGCTTGGCAAATGAGGTCATGGTGGTGTACTTCGAAAGCTTTTTGCTCACTTGGTATTGGGTGCATTAGGTTCTCATCTGTTGGCATACACCCCTACTCACTTTGCTGGGAACTGTTCGTGCCACTGGGAAAAAAAAAAAACACCCCCAAGCAATTTCCTTGAAGCAAAGCAATCCAAACTCATGCCTGTGATAAACAATTTTTCTGGAGGGATTTCACTTTGTACTTTAAAGCTGACTCATTTCAGAAACTAGCTTGTGAACCAGATTTAATTTAACCTTGACTCATTCAATCCTAAACTTGCCTCTGAGAGAAAAGAAAAATAATGCCAAAAGCAGGGGAAGGTGGAGGAGAGAAGGAAAAAGAAAGAAGTTAAAAGAAGTTGAATTCCTGCAGTACCAGTGGCCACACTGAAGTCAACCCTCCCTCCAAGAGTGGGGCTCTGTGCTCCAGGAGTCAGACAAATGCTCAGGTGTACAGGAACACCAGCTATCAGAAACATGTAAGAGATAAAAATACATTCTTGATGGTATACTTAGTAGTTCATGAAAATATTGAATTCCAACACATGGATTTCAAGAGTAAATTTCCACAAGCTTTCATCAGAAGAGCACTCAGGTCTCCAGAGATCCCATGAGGGAGGCTAAGAAGGATTCTACGCAGCTCTTTCCTTTCCTGCAGCTTCAGCAACAGTGATGGCACTTTATCACTCTAGATCTGTTTTGATCTTGTCTTACTTATCTTGGCATCAGAAGTATTTTTTTGTTACAATGGCAGTGGACCTAACCTTCCACATTCTTCCCAGGGGAGAAACATGTCATAAGCAGGAAGAGTGAAGCAGCACACCCAGCTCCATATGGTGCCAACCTCTAAACCAGGAGGCCAACCCCAATGGACGTGGCCCAAGGACAGTTACACACAATGTTTGTGCAAACAAACAGGCCAAGAGCAGCAAGACACCAGAGCAAAGCAAGGAAAGAGGAGTCAGCGCCAAAGTGGGTCAATTCAAAGCAGGAATGAATCCACATGTGCATTCCTGCAATGCAGATACTTTTTAGTTACAGGGTACTCTCGAAGAGACCCGTAGCTATGCCAGATGTTTAAAAACGAAAGAGAGTGAAGAGGCTATATGTAAATAAAAAGGGTTATTTTGTAAACTAAGTAGCATGAAACAATTCGTCAAGGGTTATCATGCCTCAATACAGAAATCCTTCCAAGTCTGGACAGAGAAATAAGGAAAACCAGAGATGGGCAGTAAAACATAAAAGCTGTCTGCTATGATACTGGTATGCACATGTCCCACATTGGTAGCTGACCTTACATTTAATTCAAATTCTTTAATTTAAACTGTGCTATTGCTTGCTCAGAAACAGCTGGTGCTTCAACACACCAGTGGGAGCTGCATCTGCATCACATACACACACAGTTATCACCAAGCCTGGATTTATTTCCCAATTTTGAAGAACTCCCCCTCTGCCAGGGATATAAAGAAATACACTAACATGAAAAAGCCAACCAGAGTCTCAACTCTGCCTGAGAAGACCAAACCACGAGCAGCACTTGCTCCCCTAGGCTCTTTGCACCAGTATATTTATTTTGTTAAGTACTAAGTATATGCTGCTCCTTCAGCTTCAAGTACAAGAGAAGTTCACATCCAGAGGTACTTTGCCAAAACAAAACAAGGAAGGTCATCACAACATGGAGGCAGAAAAATTAGCAAAATGGAAAGGGGAGAAATGAGAAAAGTAGTAAATATCCCAAAGGATGAGCTCCCCCACTAAGTACCACATGCTTAACTGAAACAAATCAGAAAGAACAGCAGGTTCTTAAGGGATTTTCTTCAAGAAAGTCACAAATGCAACAACTTAAAATATCTCCACAGAACTGTTTTACAAATGAAGAGCAACCTTCCGCAATCTGTTCCTTGCTCTTTTATGCCAAAAGACTTCTAGAACAAAAAGCCCAGCTCATATTTTAACCAGCATTCAAGGTTATTAGCGATGCCTCAGTTCTAGGAAATGGCCAAAACCACATAATGCAGTTTGCTCATTTGAAGCATTTCAGTAACATTTCTTACTTCAGGCTCTTCTCCTCCTTCAATGTCATAAACCTGGGCTGCTCATTAACCAGTAACAAAAGCAAATAAAAACACTTCTGCAGAATCAGGCTGAAGATCAGGTTTAGTATCCTTTATGTTTACTTTTTAAGCTCAGAAATCATTCCAAATACAAAATCCACAATGGTGCAAGCTGAACAAACACTAATGATCAGCTATGAAATAAAATAAGCTAAAATTCATTTCCTGTGCTGCACAACCAACATTTCTCATTTCTTTAAAGCCATCAAAGACTTTTAGATAGTCACTTCTTCAGTAGTCAGGATGTTTAAGGTAAGGAACTGCTAACCCTAGGAGAATGGGGCTGGGGAAAGAACTGGGTTTTAGCTGAAGAACTACATCTCCATGCTGAGTAATTGCTTCAATCTATACAATTCAACACCACCAACCTCTCAGTGGGAGTACTTAACGCTGTACTGGAAGCTGACACAATCTCCTTGGTGGTGCTTTACACTTCACCCTATGCCAGTATGCAGCGTTGCCAAGGGAGGAGTAGGCACTGGGAGGGGGAGCTGCAGAAAGCCACCAGCACTGGGGCATCAGCCACTACCACCATGAAAGGCAATACATGGGAAGTACTGAAAGATCCAGCTCGGACCTAAAATATCGTATTTTATAAAGCTTATCATAAATTTGTATTTGCAATTTACTCATTTTTATGTGGTTCACAAGAAACTATTCCTGAAGAAAGGCAATTTATAGGAGTAAACTTATTTTATTCTTTATAAGTGAAACCTAATCAGCAAAGCAGCAGGGAAGATTATGATTTCAGAGTTTGTAGCTCAAAAAAAGAGCTTCATCACTGCCCTGCACACTAACTAACTAAAATAAGAATTAAAATACAGGTGAGTAAAACATTTATAATTCAAAACCATGCCTGCTTTTCCTGTCAGATGGTAGCCATGATTCTGGGATCTTCAGTCCTCCCACTGAAACAATTGATTTAAAAAAAAAAGAAAAATAAAAAGAGTGATAAAATACTAGAATCAGACTTTCAATATCCACAGTTCTTAAATAACGTAATAAAAACATTCCACAAACTGGGAAAAAAAAAAACCAACTATGTAATCTGATCTTTACCTTAAATGTCACAAATTTTGCCAATTGAAAAGGACATTGTGCAAGATTCAAGGTCTTCTGAGGTTTGCTTTGATCATTCCAGGAAATATTTGGCACAATCTTTTGATTACAGAACTCTCCAAAGATCATTTGTGAAAGAAGGACATAAAAGCTACCAGTCTCTCCTGTTAGCTCTCATTTTGTAAACCTTTCAGCACAAGCAGGTAACATTAACCAGGACCTATTTGTCCACCAAAGTTACTCTTTGATAACCAGAAAAAGCCTGTAAAAGAGTTACATTTAGACTCTATTGTTGAAAAGAATTTCAAATGCACTTAATTATGGCCACTGCAGCCAACAGCAAGACCAACTACTAACAAGCTTTTGGTGAGAGAAAACAGGTAACGGTATTTGTTTGCGACAAGGTATCATTAAATTCAATAACACTGAATAATATTTCAATGCCTGTAACACACATGGTACCTTTTTTGTTAACACACATGGTACCTTTTTTGTTTGAACATGGACACGCTACAGTCTGCTTATTTGTCTGCATATTTGTTTTGGCATCAAATTGCTCAAGTGTTGGGTTTTGTCTTATCCTCCTTCCCTCCCTTTTTTTTAAATTCAGTTGAGCTTGTTTTATCCTTGCTGTGTTTGATTTGAGCTGCATTAACCACTACAGGCTGCTAGATTACTTTTGTGAGGCAAGCTTAAAAGAGTATAATTATCAAGAGAAGCAGCAGGGTTAGCACAATAGCATGCAGATGCACCTATTGAAGGATAAAAATAATTACTTGAGCACTAATGTCAAAGTACATCTGATAAGATTTTTTTTCTAATAACCTTTTGTCCCCTCTGCATTGTGCACACCAGCATGACATGCAAGGCTGTCATTAGGAACCAATCCCCACCAGCACACAGCTTTCTCCATGACTGCTGGAATGCTATCAAGGCTCTCTGCTGGTCTCTTAGAAATAAATGTGATCACTTCTATGCCACCATTCATTTGGGATGAATATTACTTTTCCTCATTTTACATAAAAAAAAAACTCTTTGCAGTGAAACCCTGCTCTGGGACCTATTACCATTAGCCAAGGAATTAACCAAGCAACAGCCTTTTGCATGCCTTTTACTAAATTTTTTTCTATCTGAATTTCCTGTTGGTCATGATCACTGAAATTCCACAGCTGCCTACAAATCTGGGAAGTTCAGTTAAGTCACCGCCGATGCTTTAAACAGGCCCAGGGACACTGGTAAGAATGATGTCATGTGTTGATGCATTTGCCAAATGAGCCCTCTTGCTGAGCAAAGGTACAGCATTGACTGCAAAAGCCAGAAACACCAAGAAAATAAAACACCATGCAGACAGAACACATCTGAGCTAATTATAAGATGAAGCACATTAAGAGATAAAGATCTGCATTTCAGAAAGGGACTTGGGGAATTCTTTCCCACCCCCCCTTTAACTTGCACAGTGGAAGTTAAGGGTATTCAAAACACTCTGCACCCAGACATCATTCAACATAGTTGTACAAGATGCCAAGTCACATCCACCACAAAATTAAGGCAGGATGGCTGACGTGTTCACCTGGCCTAGCCTGTCTGCTCCCACTTCACAGCAGACTCCCACATCAGGCCTGCGAACAGACTTCTGAATCACCTCACAGTGTTACCACGCCAGACTGCCTGAGTCAAAACAGCTCTCTCCCAACCTAACTCATGCAGAATATGCATCAAGCCCCTAAACTGAAACAAAGCTTGCTCTTCCCTCACTGCAACCATCCAGTAGTCACTGCAAGGCTGGGAAATTTCAACAGAGAAATCACTAAAGCAGGCACAGCAGGAGGACACCACAGCTGAGACCGCTCCACTTCCACATCTTTCCGCGTCTGCTTTCTAGTAGGACCAGGGAAATAATAACCCCCCTGTACTCGGCACTGATAAGGCCTCACCTCAAATCCTGTGCTCAGTTCTGGGCCCCTCACTACAAGAAAGACATTGAGGTGCTGGAGCAGGGCCAGAGAAAGGCAACAGAGCTGGTAAAGGGTCTGGAGCACAAGTGTGATGAGGAAGACCCAAGGGAACTGGGGGATTTAAGTCTGGAGAAGAGGAGGCTTGGGGGGGGGGGGGCTTACTGCTCTCTACAACTACATGAAAGGAGGATGGAGCCAGGAGGTGGCTGGTCTGTTTTCCCAAGTAACAAGTGATAGGACAAGAGGCAATGGCCTCAAGCTGCATCAGGGAAGGTTTAGATTGGATATTATAAAAAATGTCTTCAGAAAGAGGGTCGTCAGGCATTGGAACAGGCTGCCCAGGGCAGCTGTGGAGTCACCATCCCTGGAAGTGTTCAACAACCTTGTAGATGAGGCCCTTCGTGACATGGTTTAGTGGTGGACTTGGCAGTCCTAGGGTAATGGTTGGACTTCATGATCTTAAAGGTCTTTTCCAACCTAGTTTATTCTCCTAAATTTCTTCGCACCAGAGGTCTCCATATTTTTTCGAGACTACCCAAGCTGCTGAAAGGGAAGGATTTTCCTTGTGAGCTGAATTTTAGGGGGGGTTAATACATTTGCAGCTAAAACAAACTGGCCTCTACAAGACTTATGTCTTGAGATTATGCTTTGCTTTTCAAAAGAAGCCCTAGTCTGATTTTGGTTGGTTTACACAAAAAGGGACATAGCAAGATACTATTACTCTTTTACAAGTGCAGTCAGATCCACTGAATCTGCACAGCATCTGTTTGCAAGGCTGAGCATGGAATGTGTAGTATGTACTACTGATGACTTGGTTTTCTTAAGACAAACACAAATGAAGTTTGCAGAATGAGCTGGATTAAAGAAAGCCCAAGTTCATCCATAATTTAGAACAAGTGACAAGGACAGATTCAACTTCATTTTACAAGGAGTTATTGCAGTACAGAATCCTAAGCAAAACAAACTCAAAAGGACTACCTAGCAAAATATTTTCTTAAAGCTTTCTGCAACAGAATTTTATATTGCAGAATACACAAACTGACTTCAGTCTTCAGAAACTGTGCTCTTTAACATCCTTTTGGCAGTAACAGGCGAATGCTTTGACTAGTCCCTGATTTCTTTGTTACACCCAGCTGTCCTCCATGTAGAAGCTTTCTTTGCCTGATCGAATTTAGCCTTGCTTGTCTCAAGGAGGGGTTAAGAGTACTGCACTAGAAGGACCAAGTGGATCTCTTATCTCCCCTATAATCATAGACACTCCCTTTAAGCAGACATTTATTGCAGCAATGCTTAGTCCACACATTTACCCTAGATATCCTACCACATCAGAGCTTAGAAACACCTCCCAGTATGCCATAACAAACAATGCCTATAGAAAATAGGAGCTGCTGAACAGCATCTAAAAGCTTGCTTGTATAATACCATTTTCCCAGTCAAGTAAGTTCAGAGCATTAGACCACCACTAACTGCACATTTTTGTGCCTGGCTAGTGGGGGCTAAAGCTAACTGCCAGGGAGGAGTACAGGCTAACAAAGCCATTCAGACAAACCATAAGTGGAAAGAGTGGAGCATGTTGCTTCATAGCGGAAAGTTCACAGGAGGCTACCATGAGTCAGGTCTTTCTCAGATGCCCGATTTTCCTTTTTATGTTCTTTTATTTTTCCCCAGAACATTTGATCTTCTACATTTTAACAATAATGAACTAATGGGTTTTTTTAGAAGCTTTAAGTTTAGAGGTTGGCTTTACATTTAGAGGTTGTAGGTTGCTTTTCCCAAGCAGCCCATGGCAAGAGCAGGCACCCCACAAACCTGCTTGAACAGTCCGCTCAGTCCCAACCCACAGTGAACTCACTATGCTGATCCTCTTCCCTGCAGAGCTGAGGCCTGACTACTGCCAAGTGAATAAACACAAACCAGTCAGAAATCAAACTCATTTGCACCTTGGACTTAACAGTGTATTTGAAAGCTGGTTTAAGTGAAGTGCTAGACCATCTCTCTGTTACGACAGATGTGCTGAATGAAGACCTTCACGCACCTAGGCTCCACATCCCACACTTCCTTAAGAGGACACAGGATCAGTGCTATCTCCCCCTCTCCATGTAAAACAATAAACCAGATCAGTAATAAAAACCAGAGAAACACACTTTTAGTAAATTTGATCAAGGAAACTAGGAATTTTGAGTTCAAGTTCCAGCTCCTGTCCTCATGAACTATACAGCCGTCAGAAAATTTTAAGGCAGACACTGAGCAGCACCACCAACCCTCCCTTTGATTTTAGTCATGTTCCATGACCTACTTATACCTCTATCTAGAGATCAAAGATAATCTCTGTACAACAATGTATGTGCATTACTGAGGATACCTTAAACTACTGCATTATCCTTTCTTATTTTGAAGCACTACAAGTGTAAATGTTAGATGCATTCTCACAATAAAAAGTGCAAAAAAGCATGACTAAAATAAAACTCTGACGAATGCTGCCTGAAACGTAGCTTCAACCCGTCAAGAAATAAATTCCCATATTAAACAAGATATTCCTGTACTAAAAATATGCAAGAGGCTTCTTACAGAATCATAAAATGGTTAGGGTTGGAAAGAACCGTAAGATCATCTAGTTCCAATCCACTGGCACACCATCGTCAGTTTTAATCAGATCCCACTGCAAAACAGATCCTATTACATTTTGCATAATTATTTTTTCCAAACAGCATTTAAACAGAAGGCAGTTCTGGTTTTCAATCTGGGAACAGGAGAGAAAAAAAATATTTTTCTACAATTCTTAAAGAACAGAACAAAAGTCTGCATCTTTCACCAAAACCACAGTGTTGGGAAATGGAACTATTAACAACAGAATTTTCCTCCTCCAATTTGGCTAAAATAGACTTAAGAAATTCTGCATAGCCTACTATAAGCAATTAAAGGAGAGAATGATCTTTGCTGTTCTTACTGCCTGGGCAAGTTACACACACATCAGATTCAAGAACAAAGGTTTTGACTTCTGTTCCACAGAGACTCCAATATCCACATTAGGACATGGGTCATAGAATAGTTAGGGTTGGAAAGGACCTTAAGATCATCAAGCTCCAGCCCCCCTGCCTTGGGCAGGGACACCTCACACTAAACCATCTCACCCAAGGCTCTGTCCAACCTGGCCTTGAACACCACCAGGGATGGAGCATTCACAACTTCCCTGGGCAACCCATTCCAGTGCCTCACCACCCTCACAGTAAAGAATTTCCTCCTTATATTCAATCTAAACTTCCCCTGTTAAGTTTTAACCCGTTACCCCTTGTCCTATCATTACAGTCCCTAATGAAGCCTTAGAAGCGTGTTAATGCCTCCAACATCCTCCTCTCTTTGCAATCCACGCACTCAACCTGAAGAAAATTACAGTTCAGCATGGTCAGGAGTAGGAGAATCTGGTGTTGTGTATCTTCCAAAGCTCCCAAACCAGCAGCAGCAGGGTTTTCTTCTCAGCCCTGATTCTGGCATCTCCTTGGCTGTTTGACCAACCACAGGATTATGAACCACCTGCTTTCAGCAAAGCACGTGCTTACCAGGAGGCACACTCCTTCAACAGCTAGAGCACTAAGGGAAGTAACACACCTTTCTGCCATCCTTCAGAGGCACAAAGCTAGAAGATTTTACCAACTGCAGTACCTCACCAGCTATTGGAAATCAAAGCATCAAAATGGCAGAGAAACAAGGAAACCTTGCATTTAAACTTGAGTCCCAAAGTCACACACTTGCACACTAAGCAAAACAAAAAACTCCAGAGCCTCTACAGACCTTGTCCTCTCCAAGCTTAATGAGACCATGAAAAAATACAAAACATGAGAACAAGCCAACACAGAATCATAGAATGGTTAGGATTAGAAACAACTTAAAATCATCAAGTTCCAACCCCCCTGCCATGGGCAGGAACACCTCACAACAGACATGGCACCCAAGGCTCTGTCCAGCCTGGCCTTGAACACTGCCAGGGATGGAGCATTTAAATTTTGCAGCAGTAAGCTATATGTGGATAGCTTTCAAAACTAAAGCTATGATTTTCTTGCATGTTAAGAAATAAAAACGTTAATTACCAGAGTTACAGAATTTTTGCATGTGGCTTCTAAGAAGATGGCACAGGCCATTAGAAACTGCCACTATCATTTCCCATGGGAAGCCTCATTTCATGTGAGTGGCCTTTTGAGAGCTGCTTTAAGATAGAGGTATGACCATAAGAAGTGAAATTATTTGATCAGTATTTACAGCTAAATAACTGTTCCAAAGACTGCAAAATTAGAACAACTCCTCCTCTTCCTGCTCAATCTGTTTAAGTTGTTACACTGATTCCAAGCTGCCTCCCAAAACAGAAGTTAACGTTTCTGATTACAGAAGTCAATCTCTAAAGGAACACCATTTACTTCTATTAACAGATCACCAATTCTTCCCCTAGAATCATATGTCCAAAAGTCTAAACATTTGTATCATTTTTAGGAAGTTAAATTGACCTAGCCTTTTAGTTAACGCACTCAAAAGCTCACCCCTGGCTCAGATCCAGCAGCAAGTATTGGCTAAGAAAAACTGCATGTTAACTCATGGATACTCAAGAGACCAAGTAAAACCTCCTGCCAGCACTAGTGGCTGGATATGGTAAACAAAAGAGCAAAAAAAATTCCTAACTGAAAGACTTTTCTATTTTGAAATGTAAAAAAAATGATCCTTAACCTTTGAAAAATTGGAAAGTATTTTGAAAATACAAAACTTCCTAATTTGCAGATAAAATTAATAAAACATTCCTATTTCAAGGTCAAAAAAACTCTAAAAACATCAACAACTAAGGACCAAAACAGATTTTGCCAATAACTCCTATTTGTAAGATGTCCAACAGGAATCTGAATGAGACTGTAACTAATTATTTCAAGATCATCTAAGCTGGCAACTAATAGAATATGTAATGACTGTTTTAAAGCAAGTGTTTCAACTAAAAAGCAACTATACAGAGCCTACAGTATAACTGAATTCATGCTGATGTCAAAAATGCACAAAGAAATTGCATCTTTCAGCCAGACAGGGTTATTTGTTTGTTTGTGGGTTGGTTTGGGTTTGGTTGGTTGGTTTTTTTATTAATCTTCCTATATGGTATTTTTCTGTTATAACCTGATCTAGTTTCGCACAAGTCACACATTCCTACAAACAGTGCCCTCCGAGCTAGGCCAGCCCTTTGGATCCCTGCAGAAGAAACTAAGACCAGTGTCCCTCACACTTTTTTCAGTACACTGAGCTGTACCTACTCTCCTTCGAAAAGCTCTTACAGCTGGCCACTAACATTCAATGGGAGGACACTCCTCAAGGTCCTTTGCATCCCCAGGATTCTCTGAGATAAATTGTTAAAAATGAACACTGCCCTCTCCTGCTTATGCTCCCAACAAAGACGTATAGACACCCCCAGTATTAAATGTTTCAGTGTCTTAAGTTGAGAGCTTTTACTACCCATCACACACCAGGTTTGTAGCTGGAGACTAAACCTGATCACTACATTGGCTACTATGCTGCCCTCTCCCTTTTTTCTGTGCTGTCATGGTTGGTATTTTATATCAGCTTAAAACAGACAGTACTCATACCCACTCCATCCTATAGTGAAATGCTTGATGCTGTTTTAGCCTGATGGCTACGTTAGTTAGCCAATGGCTCTTAGCATGGGGTAGTTGTAAAGTAACATCTGCAGCCACAGAAGAGACTCCTGGATGCTGTCCAGATTTTTTATTAAGTGGATTTGATGTCTTGCAGGCTGAATTCCAGTCTTGTACCATTAAATGAGGCAAAAGGATAACGAGACAGAGTCCCTCTATCCCATAGAGCACACAGCTTAAAAGATTAAGTAATTTTGTCTCACCCTAGATTTCAATTTTACTTTAATTTAAAAAATTTTTATCTGTAAACACAAATGTGTCTGGTGCAAAAGGCTGTTCTCCTTGGAAGCAGAGAGGTGAACAAAAAGGGAAGCTAGGTTGGCTCCTGGAACAAAACACACTCTTAATCTTGCAAAGTGCTGAGAGCCATTCACTCAAACAGAAAGACTCTCAAACTTAACTGCAACACCTCATTGTGCCAAGTGAAGAACCATGCCCTTACAGCAAAAGGCAAAAACATCCTACCAGAATAAGTGCTGCAGGATCTGGCACTAAATGAGGATAAACAGGAAGAAAAATTTTATCTTCAAGCTTTTAGAAAGGTATTACCGTAAAACAGAGAAGTTACTGTTAATGATTAAATTTCAAATTGGAGTTTCAATACATTTGCCTAATTAGGGCCAAAGAAGCCCAATTAATAAAATCCACCCTGCAAACTAACCAACAAGGGAATGAGAATCAATTTTTGCTGTGCAGAGTTCATAGAGAGCACTGAGGGGGAAAACCAGTTATGTGCAGAGTCATCAATGTGGACAATAGAGATGTGTGGGCACACAAACTCCTTGGTTTCTGCAAAATAAGACTTCTCACATATTTTAGCCCGTTTGACAGAAAATGCACTTTTCATCTTTAAAACAAAGGCGGCTCAAAAGTCGAAGCCTGCAGAATTTTAACATATTTACTTCTGGGGCATTCAGCTGGAACATCAGCCTCGGCAGGGCCAGCACTGCATGCACGTGCGCATATGCCCTTGCTACGGCAGCACGAGTGCTTCCCAACGATGGGCAGACCACAGAGGAACGCTCAGGAAAACGAGGGTCACCAGGCTGGTGCAGCGAAGAGCAAATCTCCTGAATGAGTGCATTCACAGGAGAGCTCAGCACAGCTTTATTTATGCGCTTCATACTTTAAGTCATGCTCTCCTTAACTTTTCCAGTTTCTGAGCATACACAAGAGCTTACACAAAACACTTATCTCAGCTTGATCTGTTAATTTAACCTTGTCTCTTGGGCTTTGACAGATGAGCACTGGCATATCTAGCTCTTGCTGTTTAACACATTCCCCGGCGCAGTACTGATGCCTTCCCAACTGCTTTTCTTTCCCCAAAGCTGTCCTCTGGAGGAACTGCAACTTCTGTCTCAGTTGGAGACGGGACCTGACCTGGATGAAGGCAACCTACCAGGTTAAATTCTTTAACCCCCTTCATTGTGGGAGAGCTCTTATTTCTCACTGCTCTGGCTAAAAAGCTAATGCTCCATTTTAACATATACAGAGTTTAGGTTGGTTTGTTCTGCAGACAGACAAGCAACATAGTACCAAATGAGGTGTGAATTTACTCATTCATTTCCATACAGTTAATGTTCAAAGATGCTCTGGGTCACTGAAACCCTCAAACTTCAAAGCCAATGAAAAATATTGTTTTGGAGAGAATTACGAAGTCAAAGTATAAACCAGAGCCAGACTTTTGGCTTTTGTAATGTCACCTCACACTGCTGGAACAATGCAAAGAAACCTTTAGGTTCCCCACAATGGGCAGGGCAGGATTCCCTCTGGCAGCTGCAGCTTCCATTCATGTACAGGTAGCACAACAGCCTCT